ATACCAGGGTGATTATGAACGTGAAATTATCCAGCCATGGCTTCCTGTTTCACTGGAATATAAATAGGAGGGAAAACAAAGGCCACAATGAGAAAAACGAAATAATATATTTCTGATGTGCAGCAAAAGGTAATTGAGCTTCACAAATTAGAAAGTGACTTTAAGAAAAGAGCTAGAGCAGTGAAAATTCCCATTTCTGACAGAGAGATATATATATATATATATATATATATATATATATATATATATATATATATTAGGGCTGTCAGTTCAACACGATAACTTAATTAATTAGTTATGAAAAAATTACGCGATTAAAATATTTTAATGAAGTTAATGCATTGTCCACATCCCCAGACCTGTATGTCATCTTGCATTTCATTCAGTTGCCTGTTGACAAATAAGATTCAAAGCAAAAACTCCATAAATGCAGTTATACCCTAAAATTCAAGATATTGCGGCAAAAAATGCCCCTGTATGAGTTTTTGTCTCTTATTTAAATCAAATTATAAGCAATATCACACAAGCTGCGAGAGCTATAGTCCTGATCAATCACGAGTTTAAATGTGATTTTATTTAACAGTTCAGTAAATAAGAAGTTAATATTGTTTTATATTTCATTTTAAATACAATATTGTCTGTTTTTGCTCAATTTTACAGAGAAAATATTACCTTTAAAGCAATGGCATAGCCACGTAACTACTTGTTCAAATACCCACACTTGCGGACTTTGCACTTGACCACTTGATTACTTATATGACGTATTTCCTGTATTTGGCAAGTGTTCAAATGAGGATGAAGACCACAAGTGTGTGTAGAACTTTTCATTACCTGTTGGGACACACTTAAAGTGTTGTAAAAATTCAAGTGTTTACATAGCTTTATTTTTATTTTAAATACTTTGCATTTTAAAATCAACTTCTAAATATCTGTTCAGTAGTCCATGACACAATTTAATTGGGTGCTTCTAATTAAGTGATGAAAAGCAAAGTGACAGAAAAGTGTTTATTACGTTTGAAATATGGAAATTTGTCTTACGAAAAATCATGGATTTGCTACAGGAGGACTTCATTCATGCCCCGGAGCTGAGTGAGGGACGTTTTATTACGGATGCACATACTTTATTTCAGGTCTTCTGAACTGTTGACAACCAACACCTGCTTACCCCCATTGAACGGCTTGGAGGGGCCAGGACAATTTTTAATATAACTCAGATTGGATTCGTCTGAAAGAAGAAAGTCACATACACCTATGATGCATCGAGGGTGAGTAAAACACAGGCAAATTTACATTTTTGGGTGAACTAAACCTTTAATTCTGTTAAACTGTGCTAAGCCACTTTGCTGCAATACATTTAACATTGACAATGAAAAAGAAAGCTCGTCTTATTTGTCAGTGTAACCTATGTGAAAGTAGCATTCGTTACCATTAATTTCAGAGTGTAATAGCCTATGTGACCAGACGTCCCTGACCTTTTTTTTTTTTTTTGTAACAAGATTTTTGGTTCTGTGCTGGACTTGAGCTGTCCTGCTAGTATAATATAAAAAAAATACCGACAATCATAGCCTGCCAGAGCAATCATGTAGTGATAATTTCACCAACCGAGGGGGCTGTGCGCTACACTGATTATCCTGGAAGACAGTAGTGCACTATTATCATCAGTTATATAAAAAAAAACAGAATTATTGTTTCAAGGTAGTTATATACTAAGTATGTTAAATTGAAGTAATAGTGTTTGTATGTACTGTATAACATGGCCTGAACAGTGTGCAGGATGGTTTTGTACATAATTTTTAACATTACAGAGAAGTACACACTGATATGAATGTATAATAATAATTATAATAATAAACTTACAGTACAATTGCAACAGTTCTGCAATTATATTTGCAGAAAGCACATAATTGCTATTGTGGGTGGGGGCTATAATGCAAAATAATAAGCCTAATTAAAGATTAATTTCCAAAAGCACAACCATTAAATAATATTTGAAATAGTAGCCTACTGGAAACACTATATTTAATTAAACACAGGAAAAATATTAAATACAATTACAAAATGTTATATATATATATATATATATATATACATTTGTTACAGTTTTTCCATTTGTATTATGCATTATGTTGTAAAATGTATAATGTTATTTGTGTAATATCTTTGTAAAGTTATAGTTTTGTTATAATACTATGATCTGTTGGCTATTTGCAGTGATGGCTATTTTCTATTTTTCATAGTTTGATAAGGTATTTAATGTCATTTTGTGCCATTGCTTTGGCAATTATCTGTCAAATTAACTAAAATTGAAAGCACAATGTCTTTGCTCACATGATCAGTTCAGTGTTTTCAGAGTATCAGAAGAGGGTTGAGTCCCCTTTAAAGTTCAGGTTCAAGTCTGGCCATTCATATTATTATAGACAATATTTGTATATTATTTTATAGCTTTTTATTTACCTCATGTATTTGTGAAAATTATTAGGCTATGTATAATGTTACATATTCTTTGCCAATGGTAAAATTATTTTTAAAATGCCAATAAAAAGTATGACTGGCTTTCTTCAGGTCTGTATCAAGTAATTAAAATTATGCAAAACAAAACGACAAATGTTTACTTTCATAAGCCGTCACATGTAGTTAAATTTTATACAGTTTTATGGTTATATGGCGAGCCTGAGTATAGTTTTACACATCAGCCAAGTCTATTCTGTAACGTCAGTGATACGCAGAGTCAGGGTTTTTTGCACATTTACCTGACAATAAATGTGGCACACCCATTTTTTTCTGATGCACACCCAGAATCTCTTTTCTGGCTATGCTAGTGCTTTAAAGCCATAGCAGAATTGGTGGGCACCTCCGTTTCTGAATGAATCTGCTTTTTGAACGAATAAGTGTTCATTCATTCGAGTAAATGAATGATTCATAAAGACATAAACCGCCACCTGCTGGTAGGTTTAGTTTGTTATTTAGAGTATTATTTCATTAAAACAATTTTAACATTTAAATTCTGTCATTAATTACCCTCATGTCGTTTCAAAACTGTGACTTTCTTCTTTTGCACAACATAAAAGAAGGTATTTTGAAGACTGTTGGTAATTAAGCTGTTTTGGTTACCAATGACTTTCATTGTATGAACAAAAAATACTGAGATGTTTCTCAAATTATCTTCTTTTATGTTCCATAGATTATGTTAGGCCGTTGTAGCCTAAACGTTTATGTGTAATAAATTTGATGTTGAATCAAATAAAAGATCAAGAAGATAATTGGATTAATTAATCAACACTTCAAAGAAATTAGATTTTGATAACATTGATAACATTAAAATAAATGGTATCTGATCCATTATTAATGTGTCCTAAAAGTTAAATGCACTAGTGTATGCATGCATACATAAACAATCACTTTGTGTCTTTTCACATTCTCATTCTTTCTTTCTTCCACACCTCTTTCTTGTCTTTTTTGCATGAAATATTTATGAGTTTAGAATTAAGATTCTTGCGCACATGCTCCTGCTGGCACCTTCTGTGGGTTGTGACATCATGTGTCAAGGCTCTGATTAACAGTGCTCAACACTTTGCCTCTAGACTGACAGACAGATGAGGTCGAGGAGAGCTAGCAGGTAAATAACAAGAAAGCAAGTCAAAAAAGAAGAACAGGCATAGAACAGACAGCCAGATAAGAGAAAAGAAGAGAGGGGAGGGGAGAAGAGAAGATTAATTAAGTGTTGAAGTTGCTTTTTTTTTTTTGTCAGTCCTGAATCAAACCTCTTACCTGCATTTTTTTTATAACGAACAGGTTTGAAAGGTACAAACAAGAATAAATGCACATTTTGTCTGGCCAATGGCAGAAATTTTGTTTTTAAAAAGCTGAATATTTTGCACTATTTACTTGAGTATGCATTTTTTTTTAGTAATTAAGGTAGATTGGGTGGATACCAAGATTCAAAAGCTATCATTTCAGCAGTCTTTTATAGACTAAGGGGAGTACTTAATGAACTATAATTATATTAGAGTAGTATCACATACAAACTGAATTATTTTCCAAAGTGATACTGATATCAATGCTAAGAGCTGAGAATGCCTAAAGTTTTACACCTACTACCTAACATTTGGAACAATATTATGAACTATACACGACAACCGAGTGTCCTTACTTGACTGTAAACCCACAAAAATTCTGGACTGTGCAGAGAGACATTACTTAATTCTCAGATTTCAGACTACATCAGATACAGTGGTCAGTATTTTGCCATGTCATATTTAATATCTGGGGAATTTTCCGATAAGCCATCAGGGGGAGAGCAATGAGAAACACAAACAGACATTGCGCACACAACAAATGATTGTAGAACTGTAAAAAACTGCAGCCTTCCACAATTCCTTCCAGTCAAATAATGAGAGAAAAAGTGTGGGAGAGGGAGAGATTTACTCACAGAAGCCATTTCCTCGAACAAGGCCTCAAAACCGCCTTCGAGCTCAGCATGCTGTTCCACTTAGGCATGGTCTCCAAACCAAAACCTCGCTCTGCTATTGGCGTTGGACACACAAGGCTAACCACAAGCACATGTTCAGTTGCTCTTAACTAATTCATACAGGAACACTTTGGTTTTGTTGCGAACCCAAAAGCCCTGTCCCTTTGATTAAGAAATGTGTCTGATTCCAATTAAAGGAGTGAGAGGGAGGGAAAGCATCATAATGGTTCTATAGTCTGCTATTGGCTGCAGTCATGAAAGTTTTCTTATCTCTATCATTTTCTTCTCTGCATTTTTTTGTATGCATTATATATTTTCTTAAATTCATAGAGCTAAAAATCCATTGTTCAGGGATTATTTTATGCATAGCTTTTAATATTCATGTTTAGATATGCAAAATGTTTACCTTATTATATATCATATATTAAAAATTAAAGATTATAGAAATATGTTAAAGTTTTTTTTTTTTAATTATGTCAGATATGTTATCTACCTAATACTTTTTTTTTTTTGCTTTTAGTTTTTAATTTACCTGTAGTATGTAGCCTCTAACATAGTCTCTCAGGGTCCAGCCCAGGCCATGGAGGATGTGCAGAACCTCTTCCTGTTTGAGAACGCTGAACAGACGATCCAGCAGGATCTTCAACCTCACAGGTACTGCCTGAGTCCCATACAGCATCAGACTGCTAATGTCAAACACCACATTGGACTGTACAATCTCCACCTGCGTCGGGTGGTAGAGATGCTGTGTGCTCAGCTTGTCTAGAGCTATAATCACAAAAACAGCAAGACACAATTAGTATTATTGCTTAAATGATAAACACATACTATATAAGATTTTCTAACTTAGTATCCTTTCACCAGAATGCTTATATTTAAATATGTGGTCACACTTTGCATTACACTGCATCAATTCTACTTACATAATGTGTACTTTAACATAACTCCTTTTAAATTATTAGTTTGTAACACAGAGGTGGTTGTAACAAGACACCCATGCACATTGCAGTTGAATAATAAACATATAAGATAAATGTGGTGTATTGTCTTTTATTTGAAGCATATTATTGAACTATGAACTGTGTCGACACAGACATTCTTCATTTTACTGATTTTCTGTGTGAACGAAATGTGCACTTAGCTAATGACACTTCTATGAAGAAATGAAAGCGGCATCAATATTATCTGTTTCTCTCTGAACTCGCTCTCTGACTCTGTACAACACCTGTTTTTTCCCCTCAGTCCAAGACTGATTTTTGTGCTGACTAGGTCTTTGCCTGACAACAGACACTGCTAGACACAAACAAAAAAAAAAAAAAAAAAAAAAAATGAAGAACTACTTGCCAGAATGGCTGCCAACACTGCAGACAAAATGAGAACTCTATGGCAGAGAAGAGTTAGAAGACGAGGAAGGATAGCAGCTGACAGTTCACAGTGAAATTAAAACTAGGTGAAGGGCCCCTGTGATGGTCCCTTTAGGCCTGTCTCTTTTCCTTTCATCCCAACCCAACAGGTGTTTTCTTTTGTCTCTCTATGAAACCAACTGTTTCTCCCTCTCTCTTGTCTTACTTAACTCTCTGCTTTTTGACTGTCATCTCCTTTCATTTGATGTTTTCACTTGCACTTAAGCAAATTTTTGACCTTTTTATGCTTTTTATTTTCAGTATAATGAAATAAGTTAAAGGACAGTTATTAGTGAATTAAAAGCTACACGAATGAAGACACAGAAGCATGCAGAGAAAAGTGAGGGAATAAAGATGGATATGCAAGTCACAGAATATCGACTGGCTAAAGAGCCCCCCCCGCACTCACACAAAAACATAATAGCAAATGAATAGCAAAGATGTCTGAAATGTATCTAATTCACTGTATTAAAAAAAAGAATTAGAATTAATATTAAATTAAAATCACAGCTGTTCCTCATTTTTTTCACCTAATGAAAACCTATATAGACACTACAATGTCATGAAAATGTTCTTATATTTTATATAGTTATTTTAAGTTATTTTAGTTTCTTTTAAGTTCTGTAGATTATATTGTATTTGTGATCACTTTCAATACAGTTGACTCATTTACATTTCAAACATGACCATCAAATACACAACAAACGCACCATAAAATGGTAATAAAAGTCACTGTACATTTTAGTTTTGCCTGTTATGTTTTTTATTGTTGAAAATATTCAGGTTTGAGGATAGAGTTTAGAAATATTTTAATAAAATATATAATAAAAAAGATATCTATAAAATGGTACTAAAGTAACTATATAAATACATTTACAATATAATGTAATAATGTTGATGTTTTAAATGCTGTACATCCATATTGTAGTGCTTCTATTCAAACATACAAAAACTGTTTTCACACCTGTAAATGTTGCATACAAGTACCTATGTACTTAGCAACAGAGCAATGAGACCAGGCTGGTTTTACACACATACAACGAAAGACACTCACCATGCGCGACCCATCCATGCTTGCACTGGTCACATGTCCGGAGGTGGATTTTTCCAGGCTGGAAACACTCACATGTGCAGTTTACCAGAGTACAGCGGATGGCCTGTAAATGAACAAGCAAATAATCATCATTGAAAGATTCATAAACTGTTACACATTAAATGATAACAATAGCTGCAATTACCAGTCTTTATATTTATATGTAGTCTTTGCTCTTTCTGATTTATTAATTTTGTATGACAAATTATCAAATTAAAATATATATTCAAATTAAAACAAATTTATTTTTGTTGAAGATTCTTTGATGAAATATTATTTTTAATATATATCCCCCAAGGTTTTCACTCAAACATGTCATCATTTATTAATGTGAATTATGTCACAAACTAATGCAGTCATGCTTGTCTCACTGTCAAGCTGATTGACATTGTGCTAACAAGGCATCCGCTCTCTGTCTTGTGCCATATTCATGTAGGGGCATTTAGATGAGCTCTTCCTTCCTCTCACCTGAAACCTGGCATGCTTTTGCCCCATTTGAATTTCCTTTGTTTTGACAAAAGCCGCCATTACTCGATGTGGAGACTGAACCGGAGCTGACCCCAAAAGCTTTTAGCGATGAGGGGTTAAGTGTCCCAACGAGACAGCCAGCTTGGCAGGACAACACAATGGCATTGTGTGATAAGACATCTTCTTAATAACTCTGGCACTGAAAAGACTCCAGTAGGAAGAGACGAAAGCTGGGGAGGCCACGCTGTTTGTGTTTTCTCACACCTCTGCTGTCAAGGTCTCTCAGAAATTGAATTTAAAAAGAAAAAGAAAAAAACTTTTTGTCTTCCTGATTGTTATCTTTTTCAACATTACATAACTGCATTGTATGTGATTTTTCATGCCATGAGTAAGTATCGTTCATGTTACAGATCAGGGGTGCAACTGCACGTTTGCTGAGGGGTATGTTGCTCACTTCTTAGCTAAGCAGTTTTGATTGATTGATTGATTGATTGATTGATTGTTGAGTTCGACTCCCTAATATAGTTCTTTTCACATGTTTTGCATTTGGATTTATATTTAGACATAAGATAATCACTATTATATTATAACATTTAAAAATCACTATTCACTTTTTGACTTTGTTTGTCAAAGTTCAGCACTGTTGGTACTGAAGTATGAAGTAGTAAGTGTTTCTACATGAATCACACAAATTACCTATTTTGAATTCAAGGATGTGATGTATGGCAAAATGTGACTAGTTTGTATCTCTGTTAAAACTTCTAATTTTATCTCCAATGTAAGTAGAATGCTCATTCACAAACATACCGAGATACTCGGAAATAAACTAATATTAACATCAATCACTTGCACTCTCAGGCTACAACGTTAAATGTGCACTTACTTTATGACAATAAAAAACATGATAAGCTTACCAGTCTCTGTTATAACTGTCCTTGTTTTAATGCATTGTTTTTAATTTTCCCTTTTTTTCTGCACCCCATAACATTTCCCAAAAAAAACATTTTTTTTTGTCATGTGACAGAAACAACATGACCAAAATGTTGAGGTTGAGCAGTTGAAATCTACTCACTTTATTTGTACATTATTATTATTATTATTATTATTATTATTGTTGTTGTTGTTGTTGTTGTTGTTGTTATTATTATTATTATTTAGAAATATGCTTTTGATCATTTATAATGTTTTATTACAAAAAAAATTCACAACAGCATATCACATGAGTAGTGTTTTTGTCCAAAATAGCAGTGTAAATGTGATACTGATTTTAAACAACAGTTCAGTAAATAAGAAGTGAATATTGTGTGGTATTTTGTTCACAGTATTGTCTGTTTTTGTTCAGTTTTGCCAATGCAAATATTGCCTGAAGCCACAGCAGAAATGTTCACTCAATTTGTCATGATTCAGGTGAAGCAATGATTTTGTTTTTCTCTTTCTTGTCTATAAAATTAATCAAATCAATGATTCAATGGGCCCATTTATAAAGAGAGTCATTTATGTCTTTTCTGAATCAGATCATATAGAACAGTATCATAGTTCTATATTATTATAAAAAAAATATATATATATATATATATATATATTGTACTGTATATGTATCTCATATGTAGCTAGGTAGCACAGAGACTGAATTCTGTTTAGTAGCTGCCTGATTTGTTTATTTCATGTCAATTATTATTCTGTTGGGCTTTTTAAAATTGTTTATTTAAAATATTTTTTTTTCATTGAAATAAAACCCTGATAAAGCTGAAAAAATTACGCTGAATTAATCATTTAAACAAAATCTCTGCTGCTATGACATCAGTTTACAAGCCAGGCTGACTTATGGACATTTGGTCTAAATATGTATGATTCATTGAAGAATGAGGCCTATTGTATCACAGTCATTTATCACATAAGCCATGATAAAAGAGAGAGAGAGAGAGAGAGAGAGAGAGAGAGAGAGAGAGAGAGAGAGAGAGAGAGCAACAATGCAAAAACACTGGAAACATCAAAAACGGAAAAAGGAAAATGGAAACATCAAATGTGGGGTCTGACAACTAATGTGATCGTTAATGTTGTTTAATTATATAATTACTATATAATTACGAGCTCAATTAGGATGTCAGTTTACATATCAGCAGTGTCAGTATTGCATTTTTCGTATTATATATTTATATTAATGACATATGCTGAAAACAGTAGAAGCTACAGATCACATGGCATGTTCTTTTAGGTTACTAATGCACAACAACATGGATCCCAAACTATTCTATGATTATAGGCTAAACCTGTAGCTGAGATCCTAAAGCATTATTCCAGTCATCTCTATTGATTCCTGTGTCTGTTACATTTACACAATAGCACACACGCCTCACAGACCAACTGTGCTGGCATCAGGTCGCCGGCAAACACTTAAAAGCATCTCGTCCTCTCTACCACCCACAAGATTTGATCTTATTCAAGGCTTGGCTTCCAAAATGTTGTCAATATCCTACCATAAATGTACAGGCAAGGCAGGAAAAATTGTGCACCATGATAGGCATTATTGGACATTCTAAATTAGACTTTCTAACTTTCAAAAAAAAAAAAAAGTGATTTTATTGAGATTACACTGTACGCATTCAAGACCAGCATAATATTTATATGTGTATCCATGTGTGAAGTGCATATTAATTTGTAAAGTGTACACATGCATTAAGCATTTTGGATTGACATTGAAAAATACAATCAACATACTGACAGCATCTAAAATGTGAACCCTTTTAGGCATGTGCAACTTCAGAGATGTTCAAATCTTTTAACACTCCGAGCAGACCAGCTGATGATGTTTAATATCAAATGTGTTCAATTAAATGTGATGGCATTAAAAAAGATTTACTTAATTTAATTAATAATTATAATTATATTAATTTATTTATATTTATATTAATATTCTATTAGCATAAAATGATTCGTAAACATTTTGAATGGTTCATGTGTAAAAGGGTTTACAGTTTGTATGACAGCACTATGTGAATCAATGTTAATTCAGAATACTACAGAGATCACATTAGTCAAGTCTGATACTCTTTTCCCGCTTATTCCCCTCATTAATTTGGTTTCATGAAACTCCTTGACTTACACTCTTTCCCATTAAGTATTTTATATTTTTAACAATGCTATGTTATAATTAACATAATTTTCCAAAAATAAAATAAAATAAAATCATTGAGTTGATGATCATCATTGTATCAATTTATACATATGACACATAAATAAATAAATAAATAAATAAATTTTCTCCAGGCTTTGGCCCTTCCATGCTTTACTCAATGGGATTGCATTGTCAACTGTGTTATTATTTTAGAGAAACAGTGTGCTATTGACTTGAGTACAAAAATGTGGAAAAAATAATCCAGCAACACTTGTGATATCTACTTGTTTTTCTCTTATCTGTGATGGTGGTTTTAAGTTTTGTTTATATGAATATATATATATATATATATATATATATACAGTATATATATATATATATATATATTAAGGCTGGGCAAGTTAACGCATTACTATCGTGTTAACGCATTCATTAATTAACGCCGACAATTATTTTATCGCGCATTAAAGCAGTTTTTATTATTAATATTATTATTATTTTGAAAGTCCATTGCTCACTGGCTCTGAATACAGATACACACAAATCATGGGTCACAGGAGGGGTGGGATGTTGATCGGTACTGGTTTGGGATGGGCGTCATCATGCGTCTCAACCAATTTAGCATTTGGGGTGGGCCTAACACCATGTCTACTCCGGATGCGAGCGGCGCAACAAAATACTATAGAACCCATTATAATCAGTGATGAGGTCTTCACCGGATGCATTCCAAGGCAGGAAGGCATCAAGGCACGTCCGAATCCAAATTCTGCTTTACTTCCTGTCTCCGGAGGTACCTTCTTCTGATCGAATTTTGAAGGCAGCATAGATATATCCTTCGCTGCCATTGATATCCCACAATCCTGTGCATTCCATTCCGTGACGGTTGAACTAAAAAATAAAGATGGCATCTGAAAGTTGCGTTTGGTTGTCAGTTTGTGTGTAAATGTATATTTCGGACTAACTTTTTGCACTTTTGATGTTATATCTAGCGAGAAATCAGTATTATAGTAATTAAATATTAGTTTAGTTATCACCAAAACTCGTTCTATTTTGTTGTAGATCATTAAACCGTTACGCTGCCTCAGAAGACTGTCCGAAATCAGTTTCATGAGGTGTCTTCGTGCAAAAATGCTGCAAAGTCATTGCCTCATACGGCAGCGAGGCAGCAAGTCAGCTGCCTACATTTTCGGATTCAGCATTTTTTAGCTGTTGCGGCGCATCCAGTGTAGACAGCATCAATGATTATAGTGGGTTCTATAGTATTTTGTCGCGCCGCGCCACTCGTGTCCGGTGTAGACATGGTGTCAAGACGCACCATCACAAGAATACACGAGTTATATGATAAAGAGATTTTAATTTGATTACATTAATGTTTAAGTTGAGATTTTCAAGAAATATTTTAACTGCTACTATGTAAAGGGTATACTACTGTAAAAAAGCACCTTATGTGTTTAAAGTGTTTGCAAACCAAATGTTATTTT